ATGACTACGTTAAGGAATTTCTGAGTGTTTTCCTTGTTTAAATTCCAAGAGTACTACTACGCATTTTGTTTTCTAACATCTTACTTAGCTGTATTTTGAATCTTTTCTAACAAAGCATACTGACTACGCAACAGTATTACACTTGTGTGTTAACTCCTTTAAAAATCATTTTGGCAGCCAGGAATAATAGCACACACCTATATACCCTGCACTCTGGGAGGCTGAGTTAGGATGATCACAAGTTCAAGCCTAGCCTAGAAACTTAGTCAAACTGTCTCAAAATAGGATAATTTTCTAAAAAGGGCTGGGGATGTATTTTAGTGTGAAGGCCCTGGGTTCAATTCCCAGTACTGACACACACACACAATCATTTTGGCATCTTTGTAATACTTTTGCACTAAACTTTCCTAAATTACACATAATGAGGTAAGAAAATTCTGAATAGCACCTTTCTAAAATAAATACTAAATCTCCTAGAAAACATAACTGGAATTACAGTATAAGATTACACTGACACCAATACAAAGAAAACTTATTGAGGATTTTATAAACTTTATCCAAAACAGTGGTTCTTTTTTATCTTCTAATTGTTTACTTTATGTATTTTTCATTACTAGAATATTCATTTACTGAAAAATATGTCAACAAAAGTATAGGTTGATCAAAATAAATTTTTAAAACAAGTATTTCACACCTTAAAATGAAAATAAAAATTTTCAAACTTTAAAACACAGCTCTAACACTTGTGGTTGTACAGGTGAAGAGACTGACTCTATAGGGAAACCAAAGGTATCATGTTAGGATAGGCAGCACAAAGCCAAGCATCCAGTAGTCTGAGATACAGCTTGCTAATTCTTGCACTATGAGAACTCCTTCTCCCCAAATCTTTCCATAAAACCAATCATGACTCTGTAACATTTATTTTTAAAGTTATATTTTTTTAAATGACAGATCTGGGAAGACCTCACAGAATACCTGACCAAAAACTGAATGGAGTAAGAAAGTATGTAGAAATCCGGTCGAAAAACATTCCAGATGTCTCACAGAATTTATTTTCCTTCCAAACCAGCTTCTCCTTCTGTATTTCCTATGTGAATTGTGCACACTTCTCCCCACTTGAGAAAGAAATCTGAAATTTACCTTCAGATTCTACTCATTCAGTAACTTTGACCAAAATTCTGTAGCTCAATTTGTTTTGATCCTATCTCTTAATATATCCAAATGACCTTTTGCTTTTCATTCCTATTCCACAAATACTGTTACTGCCTCTATTCAATCATTTGTTTATTTTTGTGATATACATTTTAAGTAACTCTATGTCTCTTCCAATCCATCCTTCATGTGACTGAACAGTAATGTTTACAAAATACTATTTATCATGACCTTCCCCTACTTCACTGATGCAACTGTTTGTCATTATGGTCAAACCCAAACTCCTTATCATGGCATGGAGTGTCCTAAGTGTTTAGTTCACCTGTCTTCACCATCTTCTTACCTAATTTCTCCAACTTTCTTCTCAGCATTTCAGATAATTTACTGGGACTTACTATATAAAGTTCCTCCTAAAAGTGAACCTTTTCAACACTGTTCCTACATTATTTTTTATAAATTACTTATAACAGTGATTTGTTTTCACTTGTGTTCTTAATTGCAGTGCAGTAAACAGTTCAAAGTAGAGACTCCATCAAAAATTGATAAAATTATCACTGATAATGACAGATATAATAAATATGGACACTCAATATCCAAGCTCGAACTCAGGCAAAAAGTTTCCTCTTTTCTCAATCTCTTAGAATTATCATATATAATATGTAATTGAACATACCCTGATATAAAACATAAATAGCCAGACTTATTCCATGGAAATAAGTAAAAACACAATAACCCTTTCCCAATAATGATGTAAAAACACAATAACCCTTTCCCAACTAAGAGCTTTTATTATGGAGGGCTTATAAATATACTGCATGAACTCTATACTTGTCTTTTTAGAAAGAATTTCCACTCCAGAATATATGAACTTCAGTTCTTATTGGTCACTATTAAAGATAATTTAAAGTTAAATTAATCATGAAGACTAAACAAGAAACTAAAATTAGTGACAAACTAAGAGACAAAGGAAAATTAGCTCTATAAAACTCTCCCCTGACATCTGAGAGGACAAAGATCCAACTTGTTTATAAAGGGGCAATGAAAGTGAAATACAGTTATAAAATCAGCAAGATATTTAATATATAAATGGAGACTATGAATAGCAATACGCAATCTGAGATGTAGTGTATCCATAGCAAAGTGAAATAATTCACATGCCTCTCATTTACTGAGTCTAGTGGAGTCAGCAAATCTTCACACCAAGCATCTGATGGGAAATAGAAATTTAACAGTATATTTGAGGTTATTATTGATAATCATCTATCACACATACATTCCCTAATATTAAGGAACAGCAGTTGGAATTTGACTATGATATTATTTCCAAATATTTATGGTTCATTTTAGAAAAGTAAAAAGAAATGATTACTAGAATTTATTTTCTTTGCTCTTATCTTGCTATTTCTCCATATGAACTAGTAAGTATACTCTTAGTAATGACATTAATAGGTGACTTTAAAAACAGTAAAAATGTTTAAACACTTCATATTCATAAAAATAAGCTTTACATTGGAGGTTTAATAAATAGTTGAGTATGACCAGTTAACTCTTGGAAAGATCTTAAAATTCAAGTTTGTATTTCCCTGTGGCTGATGACTCTAGCCAAATTTCCCAGACATGGAAAAAAAAAAGCTACTGCTTATGTTTGTATTAGATTTTATTACACACAGCAATCACATGGAGATACTGATATAAGTGGGTTCTCACTCAGTAGTGCCCTGGACCCTAATTCTCTAGGACACTGCTGGTTAATGGACCTTAATTTTATTTATTTATTTATTTGGTACCGGGGATTGAACTCAGGTTCTTGTACTTGCAAGGCAGGCGGCAGAACCACTGAGCTAAATCCCTGGCCCTAGACCTCAATTTTTAAAAGAAAGACCTTGAATCAGTGGTTTTTAGCCTTGATGTCTATTGGAGTCACCTAATTAGCTATTAAAACACAAAGCAAACAAACAAAAAGCAGCACTTCTAGCAAAAGGTTAGTTTGGGCACTGTTTGGGTATTGAAAGTTTTAACAACTCTCAAAGAAAAGCTAATGGGCATTTAAATTCAAGAATTTCTAGCCTAAAATTCACTGCCTATATTCATTAGAATTCATTTCACTACTGTACAGATTATGACAACAGATGTCTAAATTCGGACATTATTATCAATTATCAGATTTTAACTTTAATAATCTTAGTAGCTTCCTTTCTGTATTCCTAAATTATTTAGTAAAATATTTTTAATACATTTAAGGTTTTATATTTATGGAATTATAATGAAATGACAATCTGAATTATTTTTAGATTAGGATATAGATACATAAAAATATAAATATGAGATTTTAAAAAGTGTTGTCTCCAACATTAGAAAGGCTCGGACTACTTGGAAAGTTTATCAAAAATAATTCCAAACCTGCCAAACCATGAAGGGCTACACAGAA